TTTCCAATTTTTTTTGCTGTCGCTTCATTTTGTTTTGCACTTCCGTCTGGTTGTTGCCGCCTTTGCTGTTGTTATAAGAAACTCATTCGCATTGTCAACTTCGGTTTCATCAGCAGACAGAGGCAGACAGACAGACAGACAGAGAAACAGACACAGAGATAGCGTATGGGTATGGGTAAGACACGCGAGACAGCCTGACAGTCGCTTAAAGATAAAATTTTTTTATAACTACACGTCGACATCTTTCAGTTCGTTTCGGCCTAAAAATTTGCCACGACCGTTTTGTCTACATGTGTGTGTGTGTGCGTGTGTGCGTGTGCATGTATGTGTGTGGGGCCCCATTTATATCCACTTGCTTGGGGAAAAGTTTGGGGAGTCCTTGTCCTGGGTTGTCATAAAAATAACAGCAGCGCAAGAAGCCAAGTTAAGCATCTTGGCGACCTTATGACATATTGCTTAAATGGTACCCATGTGGGAGATTGTGCGTACAATTGGAGTAGTGGAAGCTGCGCATTAAAATATAATTGGATAGTGATTTAGATGGTAACGGATCGGTGGAATAATGTATCATCGAACCACAAGAAGGGAATCAATTGTTGGATATCGAGTTTACCAGCTAAGTTTTTGATATAAAATGGGGTTTTATTACTAGACTTGAAGAGTCTTGAGTAGATTTTAACGAAAACTAGCCGAAAACATGCCGATTAGCTTTCTAATGAAAATATCGATAATTTATTATTTATCTATTTATCGGTCACGAAGTTAAAAAATTTAGTCGCTGCCAATAAAATTAGATCTGTCAGTTGAATATATTTACATATATGCATATATGGTCGTCGATCCTGCAATATCAATGCATAGCTTCCTTAACGTTTATAGACCCCTTGGTATTATAGCGTATCTCAGATTTCACTAATAATCTTATCTTAAAATATTCATAGAACCTTCAAACTTCAACCTTACTAAACCTCAATTATTCCTCTCTTTAGGATATATAAAATTATGTAGAAAGAACAAAACATCCATACTCATATCACCAAAAATGCCCGGACCGGGCAAAACTTTTATTACGGTAGTGCCTCGTGTAATATCTTCGGCTTAAAACTTTTCCATTTGATGTCTATATTTAGCCGATTTCTCTGTATAAGATATATGAAGAGAAATTGTAAGAACAAACCATTTCGACTGGCACGTGAAGTTGCTAAATGTAAATATTTATTTATAAACTCCGTTGACCCCATTCATTATGATACGAGACAAATATAATACAGACAATATGAAAAAAATACTCATTCTGTATTTTCTTATAATTGTGAGTGTTCAGGCAAAAATATAATCACACTTTGGAATTATATAACTTAAAAATAAATTATACTTACTTTACAATTTTAAAGTAAAACACTTTGCACTTTTTTTTTTATGAATTGCCACATTAACAGTGATTACACTGATACTATGATACTATCCAGCTCTAGCTTCCTTAGCTCAAGCTGTCCATGATAGTCTTCAAACATTCATTTCGTCAGTCATTCCATTCATTCCATCAAGCACAACAAATAATTGAATGTCGAATACGACACTTTGGCATCGCTTGCATCCAGTTAAACAACAGCAATAACAACAACAACAATAGGTTGTCAATTTAGTCAGCGCCAGAGCCAAAAGCCAGCTCAGAGTACTGGGTCAACACATTCGCATACAGAGTTGGCCAACAGAAATTGTTTAATGGCCGGTGACACTGATTTTAATTAAATATTTGGTATTTGGCCTAACGGTCGCCATGTCACTCTGTCAACATGAAATGCATTCAACATGTTTGTTGTTAAAATAACTAAAGTAAAATTCACTTAACATTCGACGGTTAGTTAGCCACACGCAATTCAAATAAAAAAATTGTTTCAAAAAGAGGAATTATGTAAAAAAAAGAGAGAAAGAGTGGGTGGGCAATGCTCGACTACGATATACCTTCAGCCACTGTGGAGTCTCAAGTATAAATATAAATTGTAAATAAATAAAAGAAATAAATAAATATGTGTTTACACACGCGCACACGCACATTCAATTCACTCATTGTATTTTTTCTTTGCAAGACCTTATGAGAAATGGGCTATTTTGTTGATTATTGTTCAATCTTATTGAAGTTTACACGTTTTGAGGTACAATGGTACGATTTGAGGTGCACAATATAAAACGTGCCTATAATTTAGTTCAAAAATGTTTTTTATATTATTTTTTCATAGAAGATATGTGGGAGGTAGTAAATAAGTGGAGCACGCACATCTAAATGTCCCGGCCTCTGAGTCTAGACCTTAAAAATGCTCAATTGAAATAGATTTTAATGATATGTTACAGAAATGTCAAATAAGATCAAAGATTTATGTATAGAGAAATGTTACATTAAGATAACTTTATAATAAAGTTGAAATTTCTAGATCATATTTGGTCAAGTCTCTTTCTACTTGTCAGAGAAACATTATACCCTAGTTAGCCAGTTTTGGCAGGTTAACCATATGCAATAGTTCTTGTATTGTAGATTTATTTTATTTACCTACTTTTATATACATTACATGAATATAGTAGGTAATTAATATTTATTACAATTTCATTTGAATGAGTCTGCGCAGGACTCAGTTTTATGTTATTTTATCTGGGTTGTTAATAGTTAAATAATATTAAAATCGAAGTTGAATGAATGCTGAAAATCAATTTTTGTATATGTAGACATATGAAATCCTATATAAATAAAATATATATGCTATAAATACTACATATACCTTTAACTATGTACTATGTATATAGACACAACATTTTTATATTAATGGAATAATGGATAGAGTACAGTAACTTTAGCTAAGGGTTCATAATATAAAATCAGCCGAAAAGGTAGCCCTAATAATTATGAACAGATATTATATTGCTATTATTATTATTATTATTATTATTATTATTTTTTATTTATTTTTTGTTGTTGCTGATTTTCCAATTCCAAATCATCTATAAACTTCAGTTGATCTCACCAAGCGTAAATAGCCAATTGAAACTGAAGTGAAGCACCAAAATGCAGATGATTCTGCTTCTTTTTTTTTTTTTTTTTTTGGCTGGTTTTGGCTGTGAAATGAGTCAAGTCACGGCGGTTAATGGTACGCTGCATTGATTTTCCACTTTTAGCCTCGGCTGTCAGTCAATGTGTCGCGTGCCACACGGGCAACACAAACAGCGAGGCGCATCGCTGTGGCTGACACGCGTTCAACGCGTTGATGGCAATTTAAACAAGCGCAACATTTCCGTTAGTTGTTTTGTTGCCCAGCAAAAAATGCGTACAGCTAATAGGGTAGTCTGGCACATAAAAAACAGGGAAATCAATCAACCAAATACACAAATCATTGTTGAGCTCTGTAAAGTTGTTCGACTTTGACGCAATTAAGTGGTATCTGCTAGTCGCACAGAGTGCAGCTAATGCTAAGCTGAACACATTTGACTGTTGCTGTCGTGCCATGTCAGTCGGCTCAGCGGCTAATTGGCCAGAGATTTAGGCTCTCTGCTGCGCTTTGTTGTAATTAAAAACGCAATCGTCAAAGAAGAGCCCCGACTGAAGCCAAGTCCAATGAATTTCAAACTGATTGAAGGAAGGCTTTTGGCACAGCAACTGTCTATCTTTCTCCCCACTTCTCGCTCTCTCTCTCTCTCTCTCTTGCTCTGTGCATTGTTTTTGGCCATATCATTGACATTGGAAATTGCATTGACATATTGTTGCTATCGGATTTCTGCCTTCTGACTGTCAAAATGCCACGTCACGATGGCACATAGCCGGGCCCAACGGCAATCGAGCGCGTGCCTATGCCCATATTGCCATCACGCTCTTCCAATCGCACCGTCTCTATCTTGCTCGCTCTACATCAGCTTTAACGAGAGCTGTTGGCCGTAAAGCCTTTGGCTTTCTGTTTGACATTAAGTGAACTTATAATTAAACGCTTTGGCCCATTTAATCGGATGTGTTTATCGTCGTTTGCGCATCAAAAGTCGAATTCCTCTTGGCTAAAATTCTGTGCTGTCATTGCACCTCCTGCTGCTGGCATTGGCAACAATTAGCACAGCATTGATATTGCTAATTATCACTTTTCAGCATCAATTTCGATTCCGATTTCGATTTGGGTCGAGCATTGAGCTGAGTCAACGAGCCAGGCGAGCCAGTTGCAAATATTCACTATTTTCAATGCGCAGAATATGCCCAAATTCCCTCACACATCAATATTACCGACAATTTCTTCTTTATATATGTATGTCGAACACTAATCGGAATAATTTCACATTTCTTATTTCCCTGTGTGCATGATCTTCCTCGTTCACCGAATATAAACATTTCAACACACAACTTGATTGACTCTCTCCGCACAGCCTAAGTCGCCATCTCACTCTCACACAGCCACACTCGGCACTATGATCAGCAACAACTATCTTTGTCTCTGTCTCTCTCTACCGAAAACAAGCCAAAGTTGAGAGTTGTGTTGAGTGATGCATATAACATTGTGCACCAACACTACTGTAACACCAAGAGACAGTGCTGTTAAGGCGTGCTGTTATCTTTACAGTTATTGGTGGGACATTTGAATATATGATAGTACGTCCATTCTTTCTACTCGTAAATTTGAACATGAACAACATTTTGATGAATAATAATATGAGTCCGTCTTCATAACTGAAACTGAGAAATAGATGTTCTTATTTTTTTTAGAAGCTGCAATAAATTTTTCACCATATGTATGTTAAAGTCTAAAGAATCAATTTCCATATTATAAAAATATAATTATATTTAAGTAGAAAATACAATGTGTCCTGTACTCTTAAATTTAAAAAATGTTAAACACAACACTTTTGTTTGCAGTGATTGATTAAAAATAAAGTGTCCCATATAAATAAAATATTGTAAAATAAAATAAAGAAAAAAGTCTACATAGTAGCCATTGAAGGGAACTTTTTTATTTATTCATTTTTTTTTTCAGTACAAATTCACAATTGACACGTGTTCAATTGTGCTATTCATTTTTTGTAAAGCTGAATTTTATTGCGACAAAGGTTAAATTTGTATCTCAATGTGTTTGTATAAGTTAACAATTGTAAACATGTTTTTAATTCCAAGTAAAATTGTCGCGCTTAATTGCAAGAATACAGTATTAATGCTATAAAACAAAAGGTATCCCATAATTCCAAAAAGTCACGTTTTATGAGCTAAATATATATATATATATGTATGCGTATGTATATAAGAACAAGTTATATATAGAATATATTCTATATGCTGTATTTCAAGTATTGTGTGAATAGTAGTAAAAAGCAGATTAACCTAATATAGTCTATTATTATATCATTATTATATATCGAGAATGACTTTTTATATTCAACAATGGGTAGAGTATATTTGATTATGAGATTTCGGTTAAGAACTTTCGAATGCTTTTCACATATTCCTATTACATATTCATTGAAGCCGGTGTCATGCGCTCATCTTTAGCATCTCTCTGAAACAGCTTAGTTATTACGTCCTGTCACACATCTGAATGCATACATACATATATGCACGTTAGCTAAAAATTATAACTTAAATTCTCTGCTCTGCCGGCCATTTGAGCTGGCTTCCAGTTGTGCCTAATTCCAGGATGGGTTTTTTCGCCCTGCAGATTGTGGGCTGCCTAATCTTTGGTGCTGGTAAAGCTTGGCGCTTTGCTTATGTTTCATTTGGTAAGATCTACATGTCGATGTCGGGGCCAAGTACCTGTCCATGTTTTCATTTAATTTGAAACATTTTCTTTACTTAAATTACAGAATCACATGGCTTCTGGCTAGGCGGTTGGGTTGGTTGGGCATGGCTCGGTGTCACTCGGTTGGGCTTATCTTTTATAGGGCCAAATGTCTTTGTTGCTTTCAGTTGTTGGCCGCCAGCCTGAAATTGGGTGCAAAAAACGTTTTAGACTTGCCCAAAACAAAACAGGAAAAAATTGGATAAACATTATTTGGCTCTGACTGAATGATACACTGCTCAAAATTTACTTGATATAAGTGTGAAGCTCATTACATGATATATAGTTAACTGATTAGTTATTAAATCAGAAATAATTATTGCTCGATTATATGCAAGTCCGAATATACTCGTTTTTCTTGGCAAACAGCGCATGGGAAAGGTAACAACAACACAGTCTAACAAAGATACACGAAGCGACAGTTTATTTCACACCGCACCAAGAGCTGGGACTCGTGTCAGGGTTTGTGGACGCTGCTGTCCCAGCAGCAGGAGGAGCAGCAGGAGCTAGCGATGGCAATTTACAGTTAGGCGGCCACGTGACTTACTAAATCAACTCGGCCTGCTGCTCGTGTCGTCTGTTTGAAGTTGAAGTTTGTTTGTGGCACCAGCAAAATTTGAAAAAAGCACACGCAGTCGGCGTCGCAGTCGTCGTCAACGTCACGCAAATGTCAGCTTGACAAATCGCGCGCAAAAATCTGGCGCGTCTTGCTCTGTGTGTGTGTGTGTGTGCGGGTGGATTCTATATATATATATATATATATATTTTTTTTTTTTTGAGTGTGCCGCTCATTTTTGAATGTTTCTCAAAGCTTTGGATTTTACGTCTCTAAAGCTGCCGCAAGCCGCAAGCGAAGGCGTGTGTGCGTAAGTGTGTGTGTGTGTGTGTGTGTGTGTGTGTGTTGGCGCCTCTGCCACAAATGCCACACGGCATGCCAACGGCGCCTCTTTGGGTAATTTGTTGTGTTTGTCCACCCGCCAGTGCCACCAACAATTTTTTGATTAATCAAAGGACATTTTCTTTCCTTTTTTCCGCTCTTGTTGCTGTTGTTGTTGTTGCGTTAAAGAAGCCCGAATTAATGCAAAAATGATGAGTGGAAATTTGTCAAGCTTATTTACTTCCGTCATTTAATGGCCCGGCGGCACATTGACAGCAGAGTCTCGGACCCCAATACAGACAGCCGGAATTTATCTTTGTTTGCTTTTTGGTTCAGTCTGTTTTTTTTTATTATTATTTTTTTTTTTGGCTGCTTCTTCTCTTTCCAAAGCCATTTTATGCATAATTTTTTTCGAGGGGGCCTCGCACAGCCTGGCCTGGTCCTTTGGTGTCTTTTATTGTCCGCCATTTCTACCTGAGGCTATTGGCCCGGCCCTTGCATATTTTAGCCGGATTTGTCATAATGCGCTGAATATTTTGCTCGCAAGTGAACCTCGCATCGCCTCTGAATAGTGTTTGACAGGGGTTCGGCTTTTTTGCTTGTCCCTCCTGTGCTGTTAAATCGAATTTCTTGGCCTTATATAATTTTGCTGTGGGACACTTTTATCAATTCGCCATAAGCAGGGTAAACGAATTAGTCGGAAATCTATGGCATGGGGCTGGGGTTCTTGTTTGGCTTTCCGCTGTTGCTTCTCATGAGGAAATCGGAAAAGGGGCGTATTTACCAATTCACAGATAAGAAGAAGGTCTAAGCCTTTTGCGCTCTCCCTAATTTCATATACGATTCGCCTAAGTCGGCTTATATAGTTTTGTAATTTTAAATTTATTAAATTATACAAACTAAAAATGAAAGTTTATAAAAATATTATCCGCGCTTGTCAAAATATATCCAACTCACGTTTGTATCCTCGCGATTTTGCTAGACTGGAGGTGACTGTTGTCTATGCCATCGAATCATACATATAATATAATATGTAATAATAGATATAATGTAATATATTATAATCAATATTTATGTACATCAGCAATTTAGCATATCAGCATTTATAAACTTAAGATATCTGTCTTGCCGTCTAACTCAATCTGTCTGACAGCCTAACACAAAAGACGAAGAAGACCCACAGAAGATCATTATTGTTTGCAGCAGTATTAATTTGGTATTTATATTTGAGAAAACCGAAGCTAGATTGCAGCAGCAGAGAGTCTTCCCATTGGTCACTTAAGGCTCCACTGCAACGATCTCTACCTGACGTCGGGCTGAAAATTTGAGCGCAACTTAGGCTCTAAGTGAAAGTCGCCCTATATAAAGGAAGTTAAGTGTGTGAAGTGAAGTGTGTAATCGTTCAGCTAAGCATTAAAGACTTAAAGGAAATATTTAGGGCAAATATTTCGAGGAAATACTTAGCAAAAATCCTTAGGTTAATTACTTAGAAGAAATACTTGGAGGATATTGTGGAAAGCTCCAATAAATCACGTGAGTTTATCTCTTTCAACAGGAAGTGCATTCCCTATTCAGTAAAATCTTGTATCTTCATGGGTTCTCTTCTCTTAAGTCTCGTTCTTAGGAAAAATATTTAACTAACTCATCCGTTCTATTGATGCTAGACTGTTGTTTCAGCATTGTTTGTAAACAGTCGTTGCTATTTGAGATATTTTAATTGGTTGCACTGCCTTGGCCCTATTTAGCAAATAAAGAATATAAATTTTTGTGTTAATAAACTGAGGCATCTGCTTTATTTATACAATTTTTGTGCTTGTGTGTTTCTTTCAAAGAGGCGGATAGCTGATGTAGATATTCCAAGTTTAATTAATCCATCTAGTGTTTGTAATTCGAATGTTTTGGTTTCTATTGTTGTTAATGAAACTCCGCTGCCATTGGCCTTCGATGCAGCCACCGCCGCAATTGCAACCGAAGATATTGCAAGATCGACGGCCGCAATAGGTGCCTACTTTACGCTTTCCATGGGCACAAATGACGATCGAACAGGTTCCACCTCTGCCAGCACGACCACCAGCATCGCCGCATCTGCCTCGGCCCACAGTATAGGTGAGCACCATCGATCGGCGGCAGCATTGCGCCTGAGCGCAGCCCACATAGGCCAGGGCGAGGGCGAGAGCCAATAGTATGGTTGTAGTCTTCATGTTAGCGGTTCTACGATTCTAGTTAAAAGTTAACTCAGCTGCCGGCCATTTATAGGAAGTTTTCGGGAAATTGCGATAAGGGCACGTGCATTTTAGACAATTAACATAGGGCCCATTGAATTGTATTTTTGTATTCCCTGAACCCATTGAAATCGGCAAATCCAAGTATAATGATTTTATTATTCTTTGAACCCATTGAAAAGATGAGTGCAATTTAAAGTCTGTTTTATAGACAGAACGGCGGGGCTAACTAAACAAAGAACCTTAGTCTTATCGAATAGTCTGTTGGCCGTCTAGTCGATGAAAAACATTTTAATTATACTACAATAAGTTTTATCAATTGCTTACTAAGTCAATTGCTTAATCTTTTATTTAATTGATTAAATACATATATGTACATATTAGTAACATTACGTTAGCAAGTAACTTATTTTACCAAAGGCATACACACAGCCAGCAGCCAGTAAAATCGTTTTATTAGTCATCTTAGCACACTTCCGTTAGGAATTTCAGGAGATCTGTAAAACTTAAGGCTCCCCAATATCACTTATAATAGGGTTGAATCGGGTTGTTTATGTGCTGAAACAATTGAAATGCGAAATCAGTTCATAAATTTGCTTTAAATATACATATATACAGGCGAAAGAGAGTATGACTGACTTATTTAAGTTTAATAAGCTAAAATATTGAATATTAATCAGACGCAACAGTCGAGTGGATTGACAGTCTATCAGATGGTTTGCTTCGATCTTGGAATCTACAAGAGCTCGAGATTTAATTGTTGAACAAAAATGTTAGTCCATTGCACGAGTAGACTAAATTAGTTTAAAGCAACTGATTAAATTTCATTCATAGCCAACGAGCTTCTTATTTAGAGCTAGTGTAATGAGGTTTTTTTTTTTTTTTTTCATAATCCAATGTTCAGGGTATCTCCCAGTTGGACACTCCCGACATGAGGCGCTGTGATTTGGTCTTATTGTCAACAGACATTCAATACGATTCACTTGTATTATTATATAAGTCATTGATTGGAATATATCTTAAACTATGCCAGAATCATAACAGATTGATCTTTATTTATACATTAAAATCATCATAAAAATTAAGAAATAAATTAAATAAATATTTATGTATACGGTGTCTCATAGCACTTATGTATTTTACAATATATTCAATTCCACTTGCTGCTCAAAATTCGAATTTTGTATTTTGGATGTCTTTCGATGAAATTCTTCTCCCATTTGCCTTTCAGGCAGCCGCCTCCGCAGTTGCAGCCGAAGAGATTGCAGGAATAGTGGCCACAGTAGCTGCCAATGAGACGCGTGCCATCGGCACAAATGGTAATCGTGCATGTCGAGATGCTGCTGTTGACCCCACCAACATCTTTGCAGCGACCCGACTCCACGGTAAACGAGACGTTCTTTGTACGCCGACAACAATCGGCCCGGGCGCTGCCCACAAAGACCAGCACACAGAGAGTAGCAGCCAGTAGAATCGTGGATGTATTCTTCATCGTCGCGCGTTTCTGTTAGAATATTTACTGAGATTCACGCTATTTATAGGAATTTTTGGAAGAACTGTAAAGATGGACAATCGCTGATATAATAACGAATCTGCAGTACCCTGATAAAGTATTACATAATTCATTTTCTCTAGTCTTCTCGTTTCTAAGGATGCAAAATATTAAAAATAAATTTATATTTAATTATAAATATGTTGATTTATAATCTGATTTCGCATTTTTATTATTTTTTATTTATTTATTTTAATTATTATCGATTTTTTAATTTAATTTAATTTTTTTTATTATCATAAATTTATCATATTATAAAGTGAAAATAAGAAAAAGAATAAATATTTGCAAATAAAAAATTAAAATATTTGGAACGTTAATAAGGGTATTGGATGTTTAAGTTAAGTTGAAGTATTTTATGTGCGATTTGATTTCGCTTCATTTACACAGAACTCATTAAATGAGGTTTGCTTTACTTGCTATACTACCTCATGAAGTGAAATGCGTATATTAGCTTTCAGCTGAAATGAAATCCTCAGTACGTTCATCTGATAAACTTGTAAGGATTGAAAAATTGGCGCGTGGTCAAGTAGGAAAAACTACGATTAGGAATTTGAGATTTTATGGCTATATAACTTTTGATTTCCAGATTCCTTAAAAAATTATTTATCTAATTTTGTACCATGAGCAAGTATTAATCAGTCAGTAACACCCGACAGTTGCGCTGTTGCTTGTTATGATTGTCAGCACCATATTCCACAAGATGATTCGGCTGTCTTATTAAATTATTAAAGTCTCAGCTTGAGTATGCAAATAATTAAAACTAACAAGTTTTCATTATAAATCCGGGGTCGACTGGGTTTATTAATTTTGTTTACCTCATTATTAGTAATCAAATGTTTTGATATCATCAAAAATTGGTTTCCAGCTAGAATGGCAGCTGAAAGCTTCGCCTTTTGGGCCAACTGAAACCAGTATTCTCCATAAAAGTGTTGGACTAGTGCTAATGCTGTAGATAATTGGCAAATAAAAACAAATATTAGCTCGTTTAATTTAATTGCTTCAAAATTAAAATTGTTGATTTGAAATTGAGTTTGTTTGTTTTTGCGTTTTCCATATTTTTTTTTTCATCGTTGTTTTTCTTTTATTTATATTTTCGCTTTTTTTTTTTTTATTTCGTACATCGTTTAATACAAATACATTAACATTTCACATTTAATAATTATGTTTACTTTTAGTTGCAGTTGATTGTGATTCATTTCTCGCTGTGTGCAAATACATATACACATATAGATATCCACATACACATATATACACATATATACACATACATATGCATCTATATATATATGTTTATATTATGTACTGAACGTATGTGCATTTCGTATTCATTATTAATTATAATTTTATATTAGATTTACATACATATGTATGTAGTGCTTGCTTTCGTTTTAGACAACTATATCAAATTGTATTTGTAAGATTTTATCCAAGTTATTTTTTTATAGATTCCATTTAGTGTGCGAGTGTGTGTGGCATTATATCGAGAAAAATTGCTTAGCTTTGCAATTACCATATAGTTAATATATATATATATGTACGCATATACATATTTCAATATATATACAAATTCAACAGTTGCCTTGTTAACTTTTCATTCTTTTCGACTTGGCGTAGTTGGGGCGCTCGCTTTAAAAAAGCCGCCCTCATCCGATTTATCGCCTTGACTGGACTTAAATTACGTTCGTTTAATGTAATCAAAACAACAAATACAGCTAGTAAAATCAGGCTAAAAGAAACGCGGCCCACAGAGACAGCCACTAACTCAGAGTGCAGTGCCAGCGCAGCAGGGACGTCAGGCACAGCAGCCAGGCAGCAAATGTGGCTGTAAGAGCAGTATAATTCGATTACAGGCAACGCACTCTCGCTGTCTCACTCACCTGCTCGGGCACTGGCACAGGTGCCGTTCTCAGCCCGCCGCTGATTGACGCCGCTGTCCCTCAGCGCCATTATGGTTGTGCGCAGCCAGCTCTCACGCCGCAGGCTGGCCACGCCCAGTATATCGGCCACGCAGCGCAGCTCCAGCATTTCGCTCTTGCCAATGAAGCGCTGGTCATCGATATGCAGGCGCAGCTGCAGCTTGCTCGCATAGAGCGGAAAGCCCTCGGTGTTGTGGATGACTTCATTGATTTGCGGCTGCAGCTGCATCTGTGGTGCCTGTCACAAAATGGGAATAGGTTAGTGAGTGCTCCAGTTGGCACTGGCCGGCTTGCTTAATAGCCGGAACTCAATTTCAGATGGTGCCAGAAAAGGGGCTACGCTGCTTCCTCTTCTTACAGAAGCTATTCGATTTTAGTATACAATGGGTGTACTCAATTCACCAAGACTCTTCATAGTTAAAGACGTTTTAATTTAGTCTCTTGAGTAGTAGCGAGATATATAAAAATAAATGTATTACTAGCTAGTTGTAGTTGAGCCAAGTTAAGTTAAGACTAACTAAAAACTTTGTAGTGCGCAAAAGTTTCAAAATTGTACCTGAAATACTGCATTAGCTTAGAAATGCGTTATCGATATAAAAGTTTGAGAAATAAAAAACCTGTATTTGAGCGTACATCAAACAAGAGTATAATAGAAAACGTATAGCTGAATTTCTTATTAATTATTAACTTATAAGTTGAATATCGAATTAAGGAAAATCGAATGAGATCTAAAAAAAAAAACAACTTGTATGTATATGAGCGTATATAAAAAAGAGTAAAAATTTCATCTCTCTATGTTTCAAGTGCTATCTGTAATGTGTATGTCCACTTCTAATTTCGTTAACGATACATCGAATGTATCTCTCTGTATTAATTTATATATAAATATTTTTATCGATATATCGAAAATCGGATGCAATATATAAAAGCCTTGTACGTTGTTGCTGTACCTTGCTACGTAGTCTCTAGTTACGAAAGTGTTCAAATTCTTTAAGAAATGCTACACTTCACTTACAAATCTGTTATCGATATATATCGAAAATCGAATAAAATATGAAATATAAAAACACCATAGTATTTAGTTCTGTGTACAGTATATAAGAGTATAAATGAAAAATCGGAACTCTGTAACCTTTGTATACGAGATAGACTCACAGAACACATACCTGAAAAGCGGGACAGACATTTTCACTACTTCTACTCAAATCATCTACCAGCCCAGCCACGCCTCATCCTGCCCATTACGTGGATACCACTTCTTTTTTGAACGCTCAATAGCTTCAGGGTGTTCAAAGCACAAGCCGAAACGGAACCGAAATATTGGGGCCGAGTTCTGTTCAAAAGCGAGTCTCACATAATCAGTGTCAGTGTGAAATTGCACTGGCATTGCCACATGCCGCAAGTAATTTTTGGGCATGCAACCAGTTTTTGGGTCGTGTCCATAGCTATCTAGTGTGCATTTCGATTTCGCTAGCGTGCAACGGTGCGTATGAGTAATGCGTGAAAATTGTATACTTACAGTTTTGTTGTTGATATACCATGTAAGCCGCGCCGCCGGACTCGACCACTCCGAGCTGCAATTGGCCACCAGCGTATCGCGATATTTATATGTCCGTCGAACACCCGAGATCAATGGATCAAATTTTGGCAGCACTGTGAAGCAAGCAAATGAGTTGGTTAGATTTGTTTTGGCCGAGAGCTGAGAAATTGGTTTTAAACTATGACCCAACTATGTTGTGGGCAAAGTAAATATATGTATGTAATATCTAATTATATATATTTAAATATAATTAAATTATTAAGTATAACAGCAAAAAGATAGGCTTAAGCTATGCTATTTCTGTCCAGCAATCATTCAGGCAGTCAATTATTAATTGTAGATAAATCATAATTTGAAAGCAATTGAAGTTAGTCAACTACTTCAACAACATTCTCGACTAACGCCTACCTAATGCCCACATCACATACTTCTAATATCTGTAATATTTTGTGAAATTCCATAGTTGCTATACACAATTGTAACACTTTAGCCTGAGTGACCAAAATTTGTATTTGCCTAACACGCAGTTAACGGCATTTATCTAATGGTCGAATTGGAATCAAAGACAGTTTGCTCGTACTATAACCGGCAGTTGGTTGTTTGCTTGGTTGGCTGTGGGTCAGCTGAGGTGTTAGTTGGTAGAGTACACCAGCGTCAAAGCACTTAGGTAATTATCAGGCAGCCAGCAGTCTCTAAATATTTGTTCAAAGTGTTAATTAATCTTTACAAATAATTGCACAGGACAAACTTTTTTGTTGAAAGCAAGAATAATTTGGTTTATTTCGTTGATACACACACACACACACATACACACACAGATGTATACGCACACAGAGTGTAGAAAACAAAGTATCCGTCACCAGAAACCAGAAACCAGCAACAACAACGATCAACTTGAGTTGAACCACAAAACACTGGGCAGAACAACAGCAACAACAACAACATCAATAACAATAGCAACAACAACAAAATTTTAGCTGAGTTTGAGCTATAGTCAAATGAATGCCGACTGCCGCAGCAGTTGTTGCTGTTGAAAATTTGTGAAATATGCTAAGGAGCCATAGTCAGAGCTGTAGTCGAAGCCCAGCCATAGCCAGGAGGCATGGGAATACAAGTGAGTGCGGGTGGGCTGTGGCAGGGGCTGTGGCAGGGGCCATCAAAAGTCAGCAGCAGTCAGCAGTAGTATAAACTTTTTAATTGACTTAATACAAACCACTTTGGTGGAAAGTTTGCCTGACTCTGTTGCTACCTCTCCGGTCTGCCGCAATGCTCTGGCCTTCAGTTAACCCACCGAGTACCCAAGTCCAAGTATTTTGGCCAAGTGCTTGCCAGCTGATGATGATTGCGAGCATGTTGTGCCGCCTTTTGGTGGCATCACATCAGATCGGAGCGGTCAATGTTGCAGGTGTACAGAGTACATATGCTTGTAAGTGGTGGAGGGGATGGTGAAGCATCGCTGGTGGTAAACAGAGCTGTGACTCGAATTGGTAAAAGGCAACACGCAGCATGCGGCATGCGGCAAGCGGCAAATGCGAAAATTGTACGAAAACAAAGCAATCAACTCGGACAAATAAACCAAAAATGCCAAAGTACCAGTAAAACACACACACACACACACACAAACAACAAAGGCAACAACAACAGAAGGAACAACAAAGGCAGCTCAAAATAAACAAAAATCAAACGTAAACAAATGACAGTGAGGTCTTTTGTGCTGTGAAACGTTGAATGCTCTAACGCATAAAAATTTGTATAAAATAATATAATATGCTTGATAGATTCATGATTACCGAATTCATTCAAATTAATAATAATAATAGTAAGTAATTATAATAATAATAAAATAAAATAATACATTAGTTGTCATACAAATATTATCCGATTGAGTTTGCGCCTTAGCTGTTCATTTTGGTTTGTGCTTACTTCTTAAGTGAAAGAGAGAGCGAGACAAATATAGAACATAATTACGTGTCTTGCTGAGAGAGAGAGCGAGATGGAGACAAATTTGGCAGGTGCTGCACTTAGTCCACACTTTGGACTCCACAGTTTAGCTGGGTGGGAGCGAGATGGCTAGTTAGGCTCTTCACACATGGTCGCCATGATTTTCAATGGACGAAGAGCGAAAACGCCATTTTGCCAGTTTGACTCCTGACTAATTATTGGTCATGGAGATGCAATAGAAAATAGCGATCAATTTATGAAAAAAATATATCATGTAACTTATAAATTTAATAGGCAATTTTTGTAGAATTTTATTGGCAAACGAATAATTTCTATATATAAAAAACTAGAATTAATACAAATTTTACTAAATATGAATCGAAATGTTTTCGCTTGAGCTTTCTACACATATATTCGTAAGAACGTAAATACTCGTTTCAATATATTACATGTGATCTTAGCGAAACAGTGCCTTAAGTCTCGAATTGAAAATCTCAAAAATGTATTAACTATATATCTCTTTGATACTCATTTCTACAACAGAACAGTTACACTTAGCTCCATTAAGTAACTAGTCTTTCCTTCTCTGCAAGAGTATCGAAAAGCAAAGAACAAAAGCCAAAATAAAGTAAGGAAATAAATGACACTATAGGCAGTTGGGGAAATTGCTTGCTGCCAGTTTGAATGCTAAGCGAGACCAGAAAACCAACAATAAGAACAACAAGTACAACAATGAGTTGAGGAAGTTCGAGTGAAAACAAGCAGAGCATGCAAATATACAGGGGAGGCACTTCGGGGGCTTGCCGGTGTGTCCGGTCCGGGCACCGCAAATGATGAGCCCATATTAAAAACTCAAAAGTCAAAAGTGCTTGATGTACAGAGCAGGTTAGACCTTTAAGTATATATTTATATATGGGAAATCTCTATAGTAATTAGGTGTGTGTGTGCCTGTGCTTACAAAGGACACTCACACACATACTTGTATCACATCCTGAGCAAACTTTGACGAAACTTAATCAGTGGCAGCCAGTGCGACACATGGCACGCAACTAAGCGGAAAAATATTTGCCAAGGTAAAAGTTTTTACACGCGCCCCACAAAGCCATTTCTGTTTTTGTTGCTGCTATTTTTGTTGTTGTTGTTGTTGTTGTGCTATCATCAAAGAGCGCTAGGTGATTGCCGTTAGAAAATCGAGACACGGCAAACACTTTTGCTGGCTGTTGTGTTGAAAGTTTTTCAGGTGGATTCGATGCTGGGCGATGGCACTTTGGTGACAGAAATTCCCAAGTTGATTGTTGGTCTGTCAACAGCTTCTCGCAGCCATTGAAACAAAAAACTGACTACAAGCCACTACGACACTACACCGAACACTGGACAACAGGGCAGAACATAGCCCAGCTCAGGGCATGGGCATTAAGTTGAAACTACGTGCTGCATCGGACATGGGAGACATTGTTTTATGCAACTAGAGCGATGTTGGGCTAAAGGGGCGTGGCCAGCTGGCTGGCTGCTGCTCTCGAAAACTTTTGTCACCAGCTCAGCTCAGCTCGTTGATGAAGTTTGATGGGCAACGTTGGCTGGTTGGCTTTTATATTTGGTAATGTTGGCTCCTCATTTTATATATGGCTTGGATTGTTCTTTTTACGGCTTCAGCTGGACTCACACACACACATACACACACACATAGAGAGACACAGATATATGCTATATGCATGGCTGTTGGCATATGCCAGAAATGGCTCACAACATGCTGAAAATTCAGTCATTTCTTTTATGTTCGGGCGGTCAGTTAATGCGTCTCTCGTTGGTTATTGAAAAATATGAGCTAAACATGAGATGCTTCTTAAGAGAAAATTCTATAAGATCTCTGTCGGTTGGAGATTGTCTCATTGATGTAAAGAGCATAGCATTTGTTATGAATTAAGTAATTGACCCCAAAAATCGATAGCTTGAGTGTTGGCCCCAGCCAGACTGAGGGTAGGGGGATAGTCACAGTTGTTTATTACATCATTGCGGATATTATTTCATCGTTCTAGATTTTGCTTTTACGTTATCGATATAAAATGCCGTTGCCTTTTTCTCTGTCTAACTCAAGCCAAATCGAATACATTTACCAACTGCATCGATAAGTAAATTGTAAAGTTACTCTTGCAAAGTTTTTTGTATATTCATAGATTCTTTGGAGACGTGATTTACACTGTTTGGCCAAGTATGCTGATCTCAACTCAATTTTGGGTAGTCAAAATAGGTGGAATAGTATATATACACAATATATTTTCTTTAAGGCTAACATAAATTTAATTTAATATAATGCTTTAGATATTCATTCTAGTTTTCAAAACTCTTAATCTATTTTATATGTTTCGAACATGTTCATAAAATATATTAGATTCAAGCAGTGCAGACTATACATTCATATATGTTTTATTGCTAAATATTTAAAAAACTTGTAAAATTGTCTTGTTGAATTTTGAATTGCCAACATAACTTGAATTGAATATAATATATTTTTAATATGCTTAACCATGCAATTCACACTTCAATTTAATTTTAATTAATATAGATTTTATGCCTGTATGTATAACGCCATATTAATATCTTAAATCAAAATCATGATTCAATGTCAAAGGCAGCCGAAGTCAAAGGCAATGCTAAGCTCTTATATTAAGCAATACAAACAATGCAAACTATTTGTTTATACCAAAAGTGGTTTCTGTTCACTGTTTAATTGAAGCATGTTGAGCAGGTGAAATCAAACGTATTGTAATGGGATGATAAAGCTCGATTGGCATTGGATCTAATCTAGTCGTTGTTATTTGCATGTTGAACAAGTTAAGCGTGGCTTACTGCCATATCTAAGTACAAAAGATAAAATTCAAATTGACATGCAAATGGCATAGACGACAAACAATCTAGTGACGGAGCGAAAGAGAGGCAGAGGCAGCGGGAGAGGGAGAGTGCGAGTGGGAGCGGGAGCGAGAAGGTAACAAGAGGGAAGTATTCTTATTGGGACATCTAAAAACATCCAATTAAAGGCAAAATGCGAATTCAAATTTGATTGTTACGCGTAAACAAATGCTTAAGTGCGCATTATGCAAATCAATACTCTTCTTAAAGTAGCGTCAATAAATAATGGAGCGCCCCATGGTGGGCTCTCCACTCGCTACGATTTGAAGTAGCAACAAATCGCTGAGCAGGAAAATTGCGACAAATAAATCATTTTGAGCCGCATTCGCATTCGCGTGCGCGTGCAACAAAAGACATAAGCAGCCCATTTTCATTTGCGCCAAATGACATTTGGGCCCGAATCAATTGATTTGAATTTCAAAGTGTGCCACCCGGCCCGCCACACGGCCGTGCCGCCCAGGCCACCCTAGATTAGACCAGAGCTTTGCCGCAATCGTTCCTATGGCCATTCCCGTTCTCCTTCACTTTTTCGTTCACGATGCTGGCCGCAACCGCAGCGGCTGCGATATCTACGTTGCCAATCAAAGGGAGTGCGAGCTCAAAATGGCGGCCATCATTGCCCGCGGCGCTGACATTAACAAAACCGAACTACAGCAACGCCGCGACCCGGCCAAAAAAATGAGCTGCTGTCGCCTTTGTTGAGCCCTCTTCAAAATGCGAGTAAACGGTATGCTCAAGCAAAGAGGAGCATAGGTAACAAAAGCTGTGAAGATAGGTGAAGAGAGCAATAGAAAAGAAAATAGAGAGGAGAAAAAGAGCGATACATAAAAGGAGTGGTAAAGATTAAGCGAAAGAGAGAGAGAATGAGACAGAGTCACTGAAATAAGTAAGAGAAATAGATAGACAGGGAGATAGAGAGTGAAGCAGAAATAGACAGTCATATCAGTGATATCTATCATATATATATAGAGAGATAGTGAAAGTAGAAAGTAAGAGATTCAGAGATCAGAGTCGATATGTCTATCATAGCGAGAGATATAGAGAGAGGGAGAGAGAGAGGGCTAGTCAGAATAGAAAGAAGGACAGTCAAATCAGAGTTTTCTACCAGTCTATCAATCTCTCAGAGCGAGAGAGAGAGCCAGAATCAGATTAGAGTGAAAGCCAGAAAGAGAAAAAGATATAAAGACAAACAGAGCTAGAGAGAGAGAGAGACAAGCAGAAAGAGTCATCAGTGATATCTATTAGCCTACCAGTATATCAGTGAGAGAGAGAGAGAGAGAGAGAGAGAGAGAGAGAGTCAGAGTAGACAGTAAGACAGATAGATAAATAGAAATAGAGAGAGAGCGAGAGAGAGAGAGAGAGAAAAAAAAGTAAGTCAGATTGAACGAAAAAGAATGTGAGTATCAAACCCTTTATATTGCTTCTATCTAATATTATCGACAGCTGAATTGATTCGATAATATATCGATATGTCGCTCTATATTATAGTCTATTATATTCCATGTATTTCTGTATATCTTGCTTGAGTCTGTGTCTCACACATTTATGGCTAAAGGTGTTGACATATCTGCCTCTAGGGTATCCCTCAAGTCGTTCAACACTCAACCACGATTTGTACATGTTGTCATTGTTGTTGTTGTTGGTGTTGTCTGAGTTATGCTCCGTTGTCTAGTGCCTGGGCTGGGCTGCACGTGACAACGGCCCGTCCGCCTTTTTGGAGGCAGATTATAAATTGATTCGTACAAAGCTCACAATTGAGTTGAATTTGGGCCAGTCAGGTGGGAGAGCAGTCGAGATAGGCGCTTGGCTGCTGCGCCGACTGGGCGATTGTGAGACTGAGCTCTAGATTTATTAACAATCATTACTCATACAAATGGCTGAAGCGTGTCACAATTTTGCAGCATTTATGCGGCGTCCTTTGAACTGCGCGTACGCGCCTACTCCGACTGTCGCACTGCCGATGATAAATGAAAAGGAGTTGAGCCGCGCATCACCCACCCGCTCGCTGCTGGCACCGCTGGCACCGCTGGCGGCGAACCGTGCAAAGACCATTTATAATTTTATTAAGTGTTTTCAAAATTGCACATAATTTGTTGTCTTTGTGTGAGAAACACACACAGAGAGGGGCACACATACATACAGACATAGATAGGCATACATACGTACACGTATATATAAATCAAATAAGTAAACAGCAAAAATCGTACACTTAGAGAAAGTTTATATGAGTTTCTATTGGCTATCAAGTCTGGTAAGAATTGCTGTTGAGCTTATACCATTTGTATTATTATTTTTTAGAATTTTTTTGGTATTTGCCTAAGAAATATTTTTTTTAATAAAATTTTTTTTGTAAATATATTCAATTATATTTAAATATACTTATAGGATGCATATTTCCATCTTTCATTTGATATCATTGATATTTGATCATTTGCTTATCTGATAAAAAGATAGCAAATTATATTATATACATACCAGATCATGTTCATATCAAGAAGTTAAGAAGAGCTTCACTTATATCGATTGTATATTACTACAATTTTTACCTAACATTTACATTTTCAAGCTAAACTGATAAAGCTCAAATATTTTCATATTTATATTCATAATCAAATTATGATTGGCTCGAATTCTTTTAGTCCAGACTTTCTTTTATTTAAATTTCTAACTCATTTTAAATTGTTCTATGTTTTTTCGCAGTGTAATGTCGTGCCTGTGCTTATGTCTGTGTCTGTGTGCACAGGACACGCAGCTGGGTCAGTGGGCTGTGTATAAGTTGTCTAGCTTTTTTTTATACATACCGCCAACGGTCATATTGGCCGCTTTATCGATCAGCTCGAACTCGGGCGCATCGCCGGACACCTCGCAGCGGTACTGTCCGGACGAATGGATATTCAGCTTCTCCAGTTCCACGTTGCAGATGAATTGATTGCAATGCGACGAGCCGTCGGCTATGGTGACACCTTTGACGGGAAACCAATTTGTTGTTGGCGGCGTTAGCGGCGAGTATCTGCAAAAGCATAGAAATTGACTGAGCGTAACAGAGAGAATCATTGCGAGAGAACGAGAGAGACTGAGAGAGAGAGAGACAGAAAGAGAGAGAGAGAGCGCGAGCGAACGCCTTGGAGTTCGAGTGCTGCGCAAAAATCGTATCCATGAAATATTTATGAGCCGCATGCAAAAAGGCTCGGCTTCAACTGCATTTTGCGCCAACGTTGCGCAACTGCGGCTCAAATAAAAATCCATCGATTTGCAGCACCGTTTCATATAAATGTATGTGTGCGTAAATACATAAATACATATATACGTATATATGTTTTGTTATGTATGAATATCGCGGGCATTATGCCGCTTTCAATGGCTGCTGCAACTGCGGCTGTGCTTGAGGCTTAGTACCTTTCAAGAGCTTCAATTTGAAACAAACTCAAACAAAACAGAAAACAAAAAAAGGTTATGCAATCAAATTCAAATGCGTTTGCCAGTGCTGCACAAATTGTGCATAGCTTGAAAATAAATGTGATTCTCATTGAACTCTTTGGCTCCACTGAATAATTGCCAAATAGTTTGTCTCGCGGACTTTTTGCAGAATGGAATTTATTAATTTGGTTATTTATGATTACATTTTAAGTACAAATATCTTTATAATTTCATTTATTTTTGTTTTATATATTTTTAAATTATATATTTATAAATTATATATATTTTCTTTTCAATTATTGCAGATTTTGTTTTGTAAGAATATAAATATTCTTATCTAAAAATTGAAGGAATGAAATAACAAATGATTTATTTAGTTAATTATTCATATATGAACAAGTTTAATTTGAATAACAACTCGTTGTTATGGCATACAAAGCTGTTTTCATGTAAATTAGTATACCCTGCTCCCATGGAAAATTGGAAATCAGTGTTTAAAGCTTTTCTGAAAATATATGTAACAGGCAGAAGGGGGCGTGGTAGACCCCATAAAGTATATATGTTCTCGATCAGGGTTTAGGGGATCGATGGGACTCGACTTGAACTTTTTTTTACTTGTTTGCCATATTCTCTAGCTTCATTAAATTCATTAAATAATTTTCATACAAGTTTGAAGTCTAATTTATGATGTCATAGAGAAAAGAAAAATTTGAAATGATGTGCAATTATTGAAAAATGTTACACCTTACGTAAAAGAACAAGCTAGAAACATTTCGGTTTTCACTACCACAAAATATTTAAGCATATTAGATGTATGCATTTAAAATAAATTTCCAATGAATTATTCTAAGCGTGTAGTTTGCATTGTTATTTGCATTGTTTGAATATATATTTAGAAATTCGCATTGTTTGAAAATAATTTCATTTGATAATGTATTTCAATACAATTTTTTTCAATTTATAATTTGAAGCGATGGAAAATTTGGTCTATTCAATATTATTTCGGGCCATACATATTGACCCCATTTTTAATATTATTCACATGTGAATTGTTACACTAATTAATAAATGATTTCATTTATTTGCCAGACTAAAAACAATCTCTCGCTCTCTCTCTCCCTCTCTCTTTTGGCATTTTTTTAGCTAATGGAAATGCTTAACATGTGTTTCAACAACTTATTTTCACGTCTCTTAAATGAATAACCAAAAAATGTTTGCCTAAAAAAAAGAAAATGCCGATTTCAAAGAGCGGAAACATTTTGTGCTTGATTAAGCCGAAGCATTGACCACCAATTAAGCCAGTTAAATAAAAACTGCGCTTTACACATATTTAAACGGTTGGCGTAAGCGTCGAATCGAGAGAGGTGGTCTGTGGGGGGAGGAGGGTTACCTGCGCGCCACTGCTGGCGCCCATAAAATCCATTTCAATTAAGCATTTAAATTAGTCGCGACACTTTCAACCGATCGAGTGTGCAGTGACACTCAGCTGCTCCGGCTGTCCGCCGTCCGCCTCCTGCTCCACCACCTACTCCTCCTGCTGCTGCTGTTGCCACGCAATACTATGTTGCACAGAGTGTTGCAATTTCATGACGTTTTCAATTTGCACCATAAAATCTGCATGAATGCGCCGGCACACACGCCCAGCCTTTTTATTATTTCCAGCCAGAGTCGAAAATATTTTTATGACTGTTTTTTATTTGTTTTACAGCCGTAGCCGCAGCAGCAGCAGCAGCAGTAGCAGCAGTAGGAGCAGCAGTTACCAAAAAAAGGGCCAATGGGCGCGCTCTGCTTACCTGAAAAACTCATGGCCATCCTTATACCATTTGACCGAGTTGAGGGTCCGATTGCCCATCTCATAGCTGCAAAACAGTTTGGCCTTTTGTGAGACATCGATAATGGGCGGGACGGAGAGGCTCGACAGGTGCAGCGCCTCGCTGGGCCCAACAACTGCAAAAAAGACCAGAAAAGTAAATGTTAAAACTGCAAACGGTAAATGGTAAATGCGACTGTTTATCAATAAAGCTGTTGATAACAGCCGTTATCCGAAAAAGTCTGAAATCCACATAGCAAAATAAATACAAAATTTAAGCCCTCAGATGTAAGGCGACATAAATTGTAGTTAAATATTCAGACAAATGTGATGCCACATAAATTGTTGTTAAATATTCACACTTGTTTCATTGCAGATTTTTAGTTGTTATATTCTCATTTATTTGTACACAACTATTTTAATTAGTTTTCATGATGTAATGCTTGAAGATTATGTGGGATTTGAGCTCTAAATTTGTATATGCAACTGTGTAAATTTCATTCCTTTATGTCTCATGTTTAGATGATAAATAAGAACAGAGTTGGAGCAAGTAACTTGTTAAGGCTCTACTGCATAGATTTTTAATAATAATGCATTCATATAATTCGATTATAATTCTAATCGTTAAATCAGCTAGGTATAACTAAGAAAAATGTATACAGTGCCCCAATTACTATGCTCATCCATAAAGCTATTTGAAAGGAAATGAAGAAGTTCTTAGACATATTTTTTTGCTAAGGCCCAACCAACCTGAACTGAAAATTCTTATGTTGGAGTTATAATGATTTTTATTGGATTTATCTTTGCTTTGAAGCTCAACGTTAGAAAGGCTCGAAATACCATGCTAATGGTTGAATAGTTATTAACCAATTGTATATGCATGATTATATTTGATTACAAAAATCAACTCTTAAGCTAGAAGTTGAACTATGGATACTAAGACAAGTATTGTACAGAATCAGCATACATCTTACGCCTCATGCGCAACAAATATATTGATCTCCATATAAAATAAAATATTGCTTAAATATTGACATATTTTTACGCTTTGTCTTATAGCCCTTATCTATCAATGAAAATGTCCACGAAATGTCATTTGTCAAAATCCCTGGAGTATCTCAGTCGAACGGCAACTTTTTTTATTGAGCACAAACAGTTACTTATAATACTTATATTCCTGCTTGAGTAGCAAATAATGTTGCTGAAATTCTTTGCGTATGAACAGTTTGAAAACAAACTTGATTAACATTAAGCAGTGAATTTTTAAGTATATATTTATTTAATTTGCAATATTAATATACACCTCACTTATTTTATTTATTTATTTAACGCTCATAAGAATATCTTAGTCAAGCACTTGCAAATGTTTCGTCAGTCTTGCTATCTGAAGTGATGATCAATTAGACATTCATTCATTTATCAGTTCAGCCATTTTCCATGGCGCTCAAATGTATGCTACACTTTTTACCACATTTGAGTTGAGAGAGCAGCTTGCCCCAGGCTCCCCATATATACATATATTCATTTGTCGCATGTTCCTTGTATCCCTTAACCATTTAAATAGTGTATTTAACTGACCAAAGGGCGCACAGGTGGCAGGCAGGTGGCTTTTAATTAAGTTTCTTTTGCACTTTTTGCCAGATAATAAAAATTACTAAAATTTGACCAGAGGCAGCCAAATGTATTTGTGGCATTGTAATTATTATTGTAGTCGTTGTTCTGCTTGTTGTTGCTGTCTCTCTATCTCTCTCTTTCTTTCTCTCTCTCTCTCTCTCTCTCTCTCTTTGTGAGTGTGTGAGTTTTTTTTTTATCTGAACTATGAACTTTTGCCTGCCGACAAAATAATTAGCGTGCTGCCATCTCGCTCGCACACGAATCTCGTTTGCCTGTTTACCTCTCGCTCTGCCCATTGTGCACGAGCGGAAGCAACAGTTTTTCATTTGTTTATGTGTCCGAGTTTCCGTGGCAGAGCCGGATTTAATGGTCCTGTATAGTCATGTCCACTAATTACAACAACAAACAACAAGCAACAGACAACAAACAAAAATTAACTTATGTGCCCCATAAATTAGCAACATAATATAACTTATTCCGTTTGGCTCGGCTTAATGACATTTGCTCAGGCAGAACTTTGTGATAATTCGCTCATAAACTTTGTCCCATTATATTAGGGATAATTGATTTATTTGAGAGACAAAAGTATTATGTGCGTATATATTTTTATGAATATATATAAATATAGATACCATTTTTAATTCTGCACTTAAGCTTTGATTACAACAAATTGTGTGTTAGGCTCGGCTTTGTGTATTGTAATAGATCAAAGTTATAGGCGAAGTTTTTATAGGTATGTGAAAAAAGACTTTAGTGACATCATGAATTTATATAGCCGAGTCTACGTTTTTATGTACAGACTCAGAAATAAATTCAACAATTAAATCTAGTGTATCTATGGCTTGGTTTCTAATGCTTAGCGTTGTGATTTTACAGTTTATTATTCTGTATCTTTAGAGCTCACAGAAGTATGTTTACAAACTCTGTATATATCCCAATGTTAAGCTAAAGTGTGAGGTAATTCTTGAATGCCTGATTTTTTAATTGAATAATATATGAATAGACTACTGCCAACTTCAGTTCTTAAATTAATTTTCTGTGAATTTCTTTTAAATAAGTTGATGCGTGTAACCCGTAAATAAACGAGATTTAACTATACATGCTTTAATATTGGAGTAAACCCTTTTATTTCAATTATTATGTTTGTTATAATTCCGAGAATTTTTTGTTGAGCCCGTCAAAAGGCTTGGGTTCTGGGTATTAAAGGTCTAATGCATATGAAATGAATGCTTTATGAAAACAAAAGTGAAGAACACATTCGTATTGTGAAAAGAGGGAGTATATTCGTATTATTCGTATAATCGTTTAATCGTATAGCCTATAGCCAGTCACATCTGCATCCGCATCCGCATCCGCATCTGTATCTGTATCTGCATCTGCATCTGTATCTGTATCTGTATCTGTATCTGTATCTGTATCTGTATCTGTATCTGTATCTGTATCTGTATCTGTATCTGTATCTGTATCTGTATCTGTATCTGTATCTGTATCTGTATCTGTATCTGTATCTGTATCTGTATCTGTATCTGTATCTGTATCTGTATCTGTATCTGTATCTGTATCTGTATCTGTATCTGTATCTGTATCTGTATCTGTATCTGTATCTGTATCTGTATCTGTATCTGTATCTGTATCTGTATCTGTATCTGTATCTGTATCTGTATCTGTATCTGTATCTGTATCTGTATCTGTATCTGTATCTGTATCTGTATCTGTATCTGTATCTGTATCTGTATCTGTATCTGTATCTGTATCTGTATCTGTATCTGTATCTGTATCTGTATCTGTATCTGTATCTGTATCTGTATCTGTATCTGTATCTGTATCTGTATCTGTATCTGTATCTGTATCTGTATCTGTATCTGTATCTGTATCTGTATCTGTATCTGTATTTGTATCTGTATCTGTATCTGTATCTGTATCTGTATCTGTATCTGTATCTGTATCTGTATCTGTATCTGTATCTGTATCTGTATCTGTATCTGTATCTGTATCTGTATCTGTATCTGTATGCCTCCAGCACTACTGACGTGTTATATTATTGATAAGACAAATATATATATTTTTTTATAATCCTATGAGCCACACTTTAAATTTAAAGTTACTTTTGTATTCTTTTTTTTTTTTTTTTTTTTTATTTTTTATTTTTTTAATATAAAACAAATTTGTATTCTAGTTATTTTAAGTGGGAACTGAAAATAGTTCAAATAAATACAAAAATTTATCAGATATGTAAATTAATGTGGGAGAATGTGAATTAATATTTTATTTATAAAATACGTCTGTGCAAATATTTAATATTTTTTATGCAGTTTTTTATGCATATCTTTTGTGTATGTGCATAACATATTTTATTGACGATATGTTTTGTTTGCTTGTTAAATTAAGTACGGCTGACATGTGCGATTAACTACTTAGCTTGTTGTTGTTGCTGATGCAACATTCACATGGCTTTAATATTTATGGGCCGAAAGCCGGGCTGGCTTAAAGCAATTTGCCAGCTCGAAAGTTAGCCGACAAATTGCTTCAGAGCAGGCCAAAACCAAGCCGCATTACTCATAATGACGAGCAAAAAATTCGATTAGCTTAGAAAGCAATTAACATGCTAAGCACACACACACACACCCACCCATACATACGCACACACACAGAGAACTTAACATACAGCGAAATTAAAAAGGATTTCTGGCGCAAATGACGAAGGCATTTTGTGAGCCTGGCCACAACTATGTATACTACATGGGTTTCCGCCTAAATCTGGCTCAAGTCGTTGCCGGGCAGTTCTCGGACTTTTTCTTGGAATACCCTAGCGTAAATGGTGCAAGGGTAGTTTGATTGTTATGTCTAGCATATGTAAGCTTTTGAAAATTGAGTCTTAGATAGGCAGGTTTTTATTTCAAGACTTTACTTTTTAAGCATAGTTCGAAAGCTCTAAATTTTTAGTAAGGCAAAGTGTATATAATACTCATTATTATGATTTATCGAAATTCCAATGACCATGAAAATTACTGGAAATGTCGATATATTTCATATTTAATAATAATTATAATTAAATATTAATTAATAATTAAATATATTAATATTTCTGAAGTAGTTATATCTCAATCTCATATAAACTTAGGATATATGTTAGTCGTGCATTCTCATTAAAAGCCCTCCCACTCGTTGTTTTCTTCTTCTTTTAATGGGCGGCTCACTGACGGATTGTTGGGTCAGTTAATATCACTCAGACATGAGACTTAGCTGTCTTGGCGACGGCCACACATACACACACACATACACACATACGCATTGACAGTTGGCTGACCATGTGTGAGGGCGATGAGTTGGCCGAAAAGACCAGTTGGGCCATAAGATAATGAATGCGTTGACGTTCAAGCATTTAATGTGCCGAAACAATGATGAATTAGTGACGAGACAGAAATATCTCAAGCGCAAAATAATGAGGCGTTTGCTTGGCCTCCTCCTGGCCCACTCGCTCGCATTCGCTGTTACAATCATGGCCAAAAATTCACTATGCGGG